CCCACCAGCCCGCCAATCTGCCAGTCAGCCAGCCAGCCAGCCAGCCCAATACACCGCCCCCCCTTCTGAGTGAGTTGTTTTCGACACTTGGAACGCCGTCGGCCCCTACCCGCAGCCTGTCAGTCTCCACCTCACCATGAATGTAGGCCACGTAAACACCTTTCGTTGTTTTCGTTTAAAAGTTGTTCAAGGCCAACCCATTTCGCCTAATTAATTTTTAAGCCAATTTTAAACGCCTATTTTGGACTTATTTTAACAATATTTTCACACTTGCATTAATTCCAACTAGTAGGGGGCGAAAATTGTTTGCTAGTGAAGTAAGTGTACTCCATGCACACCCTTAACCAATTAAGAGCTCTTTCTCGTCGTCGTCGTCGTCGTCCACTTCATGTTGATCTCACCTGCCTCGCTGGTCGTCAATGCGTCCACATTCTCCCCCGCCAGTCTACTCTCCTGCGCTCGCTCCTGCTCTCTCTCTCCCTCTCTCTCAGCGACTGTAATTGCCCTAGATTGTCACCAACCTTAGCGGCCACTCTGACGCAGTAAAAAGTTGGCAATTTCGCCTATATCCTACCACCACTGCAACCACTTACGCACTTTGAGACAAACACCACCAGCTTCTCAATGAAGTGCTCTATTTTTTGTTTGCGGTCTAGTGCCAGTCTCGTACTGCCCCTCCGCCCTTAGCATTTTCTTCTAGTCGCTTATTCCACAAGGCCTGCTAATAAAGAACACAATTTTATCTCGTCAATGTGTCTATTTGTGTTTGAATTGGCAGCAGTGGCAGTGAGGGATTAGCACAACTCACGCATTTTCTACAGCCCATTTTTGCACGAGCACAGCTGCCGCATTTGCTGCAGCCGCTTGACGTGCTGGCGTCCATCGACCGACCGACCGACCGATCGATCGATCAATTGCTCGGCTTCTTGCAGGTGTGCGTGCGTGCGTGCGTGAGTGCGCGCGCGCGCGTGCCCAATGCTCAACAAACAGCCTGCTAGGCGTATCGATCGCCTCGCCAATGCGCTGCTCCACATGCTATGCGTCAGCCACATACACTCAGAGCTGAAATTGTTTGTGCCGGCGTGTCAAATGTCCTTTTGACCTCAAAGCTCTTGCCAAATTCTCTCTCTCTCTCTCTCTCTCTCTCTCTCTGTCTGGATTTCAAAGTTATTTTAGGTTAGCCCTGAAGATAGTCAAAGTACTTTTGAAACTAGGTAGACTTGATATGCATGCATTGATCAATAACGCTAATTAGTAGTACTAGGTTGCCCTAGTCGAACCATGAGAATCCAAGACAGGGTGAGTAGATCCAATACCGTTATGTCACTCAAATCACCCCAACTAACCGTTTTAAATAGTTTTGTCTGGTCATGAGTACGCCATTCGGCGCTACCTACGCGTTGTTTGCCACTTCGCAAACCCACCACGAGGACAGTCGATTTAAGCCAAAGAAGCGTGCCTTTTCATCAGAGCCGATGAATGGAGGTGGATGGATGGAGGTGGTTATTGTGGAATGTGGAGACGAGTAGTTTCATTAGTGTGGAAACGGGAGGAGGGAAGGCGAGAGATGTGGGATCCCCCCACCGAAACAGCGAACCAATGAGAGCTGAGAGTGAGTCACACGCACTAACCGACCTCGGATAATCGTCGGGAGCGTCATGGTGGCAAGTGGCGCACTCCACCACTCACACACGCAAACACGCACAAGCACGTAACCTGATTGGCCCCTTCTGCATCGTCAGGTGCACTTTGGGCACGGATATGGCCAAGCACACGGACATGGTGGAGGCGTTCACGGCGAGGATGGTGGAACATTGGCTTCGTGGCGAGAACTCCGAGGACAATCAGTCGGTGGCCACCATCGATGCGGTTAACGGCGTCACCGCCCCCAAACGTCTCATAAATGGCGGCCATCTTTGACGACGACGACGACGGCGACGACGAATCGCACACTCTGACAATGGTCGTTTTGTTGAAGACGTGCGACATTTCCACGGCGATTCGACCTGATGAAGTGGTTCAGCCCTGGCTGGATGGCCTGATAAATGAGCTCGCAGCCCAGGTATGTGCCTTGGCCAGCAGTGACCACTTCGGTCACATTTCAAACCCAATTGACTTGTACACTTCTTTAGGTTTTCACACAAGCTCATTTTGTGTGGTTTTCGCTAAAGGGAGCTTCGCTTCGTCGATTTGCCCATGTTCTTGGCGTCGCAACGTGTGTGTTCAGCTACTTGTGCTGATTGCTGGCGTGTCTCTTATGGGCTATTTTTGGCTCTCGCGCTCACCCACGCGTACACATGACGACGCACAGGACGCTGACGTCACAGTGGTTTTTTTTTGGTGCACTGGCCCCTTACCAACTCCACGTGATGCTCACGTGGCGGCGGCGGCGGCGGCCGTGGTGGTCGTTTGAAGGTGGGTGGCGCTGTCTCCCCTCGTTCATGGTCTGATCGAGGGTTCACGAGGGCTAGCAGTTGATGAATGGTCTAAGTTAGCAAAGATGTGGTTTTGCTTGATTTTTCAGTTCTAAGCATGTTTTTAAAAGGTCTCTCTCTGTGCCTGAGGGTTCTGGGCCTCTATAATTACAAATTAATTTGCATGGTTATACTTCAAGGTGACGATCGCGATTGGTTACCTGGAATTGCTGAGTCAACGCGTCGTATTGAACCAACTCACCGCAACCGGAGCGATGTGCTTTGCAGACCGGCGCCGATTCGCGCCACACTGCTGCTTTGACAACAGACCTGCCTGAGAACGCAGTACCCACTCGCGACACGTGTCACCTCGTGCCAAAACCACCACACTAACGTCTACAGAATTTGGAAAGGCCGTTGTTCAGTGAGGGACGTGTGTCGATAGGACGAGGCACGATTCCCCATGGCTTGTGTGTGTTACCGACATCGAAATTTCATTGTGAGCATTGCTTAGTGATATGTGGCCCATCGGAACATCCACCTGGGTGATGAGGATGGCAATCATCTTTCTACCAACAACACCAAGAGCGTCGTCGGACTTGGCAAGGTCTACCCCTGTTCCACTATTCCATTTGGGTACAAAGAGAACAAGAAATCACTCTTAACTCCAATTGTACATTGTGTATTTAAGTCAAGTGAAGAGTGTACAGAGGGCTTGGCTTAGCTCCATTGCGATAACATTAGAAGCTTTAGCTCGGAAATACTTTCGAGTTTGACAAGTGGTCTCGTCGAAGGAAGAGCCCTAAAATGTGAAAAGCATGGCAAAAGGTAAAGGGGAAGATGGAAAATTACCAATGCAGAGCGACTCGCTTGGTTCTAGGTATGGCCGGAGAGCACCGCCATACTTCACCATGGGCTTGTGAATATGAAAGGAGAAAAGAAGAGCCACGA